AGAGAATCTAAATCAGCTTCTTAGCAGATATCTTAAAAATAACACTTGATAAAAAAGATAATGAAGATTCCTAACAGTAGGATGATATAATATATAACAGTAAACTCAACCCTGCCCCCTAAGGTCTTAGACCCAACCAGCTAAACAAACCCCATAAATGGTTAGGATTTACCTTTGAAAGCCAGGTGGTTTTCCTCTTAAGATTCTGTTGACCTTTTCACTTGTCTTGAAACATTAATACAGGTAGAGCAAGCTATATTAAGCAATTGCCCACACTGCTCTGGCCTGCAAGGTGGAAGTCTAGGACAATTCTATCATCCATAATAACCCTGGCCATTGAGCTGAAGCTGAACTGAATATCTCCAGGCTCAAGATGATGTCATTGAAAATGTCAGCTAAATTCAAGAAGAAATATTACCTTTTCTAATTGAATAACTCTAATTGGGGATAACTGCCTGCATCTGCTGCACATATGTAATGAGTCAGTCATCCCATCAGGAAGTTCTCTTGAATATCCAATATTCTTACTTTGAAGAGATAATTGCAATCACTTGAGGGATACATGATCTACTGGTGATGTTTCCATAAACATTTAGAAGTATCTCATTACCACCCCTAAAGTACAAGTCACATTGTTTTCAGGAAGAAGGCAAGTTAATGGTCCAATTGGCACAGATTAACAATGCCTCCAATGTGGCTTCCTGGCTGGCTTATGCAATGAAAGAGTCCCAGATTAGTTGAGGTAAGTAAGTCTACTCCTTATTTTGGAAGAGCTGCCTAAAGGGTACTCAATCCAATTTAACCTGTTTCTGTAAGCTTTCAACTGGATGATATCCATTCACACCACGGAATGACCGAATGACCATTGTGAAAATGGGGGTGGGAAGTACATCTGAAATATACCATTACTACTTGACAAATGAGCACGTTGGAACTTTCCTACCTTGTTAGGTCACTGAGTCCCTAAATAGGAATAACTTGATACAGGGAAAAGAGTCACAAGGCCTCCATAGGTCAGTCATTCCCCAGTAGCAAGTTAATAGCTGCTTTTCAAAAGAGGTGTTTCCCGCAAACAGGAGATGACAAGTTCAGAATCTCAGGGGCAGCCTCCCACGGCAAGAAACTCCAACTGGCAAAATCTTCAGTCACTCAGACTTACTGTTCAAAAAAGTCATTAGGATTTGGGGGTCTTTAACTAGAGAGGTTGCCACAGATGGCTTCACAGCAATCACAGAACCACTTACAATGCAGCATTTTGATTTGGGTCTCACCAAAACCAAAATGTACTGGTTTGTGGGATCGTCTATATAAAGGACAAAGTGTAATGCTCAAGCAACGCATACACTGTCTCTAATATTAGACTCCACAGAGACTATTAAGGTGCTAGGGTTGTTTTCTGTGGTGAGATGCTAAAGAGAGAACAGCTCTTCCTTCACTTCCAGGAAGACTGAGCATTGTTAATGTGCCACATAGTCCCAAAACACTTAGCAGGAAGGCTCCTGAATTTTTTCAGGGTTTATCAGCCCATTCCTTCTGATGGAGGTGCTATAATTCTGCCTTCAGGGCCATTGAGACCAAGGCATCTGACTTTCCAACCAACAGGATATTTTTCTATACATTGAAAGCCTGCCTGGAAGAAAGCGAGCAACCATTAGGTCGCCATTCAGGTGACTTGTTTCAATCCTACCTTTGCTGCCCAGCCTCTAAACAGTAACAGGTAAGAAGATAGGGGATCCTTCTACCACCTTCTTCCAACCAACTGGGCAAGATCACGTGCTAGAAAATTTTCTCATTTCCTCTTACCTGTACCACTGGAACTCTTTCCTTTCTTTTCCAGAAAGTCAGGTCGCTGTCAGCATCCCATTTTTATCACCAAAAACTGTCAAAAACTGTGAAGGGTCTGAGAGTTTACCTCATTTGCAAGCCAATAGTTTAGACTGCCATAATTTCATGAATGCTGGTAAAAGACACGAGACTCTTTAGTCAGAGACAAAAGATTGTATTATTGACAGTATAACAAGTATCATGTGTTTCATATATATGTTGGTTCCTCTTCCCCCAACCCAGGACCCATGGGAGTGACACAGAGCAGCCCAGGTTGACGGTGCATACGCAATGAATTTGCATCAAAGCTGAAGAACTGAGTTTAAGAAATCTGAAACTTGTATAATGGGCTACAGCTAAACCAAGCTAACCTTTGCCCCATAGCAAAACATGGTCTTTATCATATTGAATAGTAAACAAACCTGCCCTCTGCTTCAGAGAGAGACATAACTATCTCTATCTTAAAAGAATGTTCATTATACAAAGATTTTGGAAAAGATGGTTCATCTCAAAGATAACCAGTGCCTCACCTCATAAGATGTGCAGAAAAAAGACACTCATAGAGTCATCTTCCAACAATAACTTCCACACAAAATTCTTTACCAAAGTATTATCAAAATAAATCTAGCAACATATTAAATGGGCAATGTCATTACCTTATAGGGATTAACCCAATAATGGAAGATTATCCTTCAAAAATTAATCAGTGGAATTTAACATATTAACAAATTAACAAAGATGCCTGTAATCCCAGGCGCATGCCTGTAATCCCAGCTACTCGGGAGGCTGAGGCAGGAGAATCTCTTGAACCCAGGAGGCAGAGGTTGTGGTAAGCTGAGATCGTGCCATGCACTCCAGCCTGGGCAACAAGAGTGACACTCCATCTCAAAAAAAAAAAAGGTCAGAAAAAAGGCAAATATGTTCTCATAACTTCTATTCAACACTGGCCTAAATAGTCCAGACAATGCAGTAAGACAAGAAACATAAAGGCAGATATAATTGGATGAAAAATGGCAGAAATATGATAGTCTATGTAAAAACTAGAACTGATACATTTAGTTAAGTTGCAAGATACAAGGTCAATACAGAGTCTCCAACTTGATGGTTCCACTTAATGATTTTCTGACTTTACAATGGTGTGAAAGTAATACATATTCAGTAAAAACTGTACCTATGAGTATTAAACAAACTACATGAAATACTTAACACTACAAAATAGACTTTGTGTTAGATAATTTTACCCAATTGTAGGCTAATGTAAGCATTCTGAGTACATTTAAGGCAGGCTAGGCTAAGCTATGTTCAGAAAGCTAGGTGTATGAAGGCATTTTCCACTTATGATGGGTCTATTGAGATGTAACCCCCATTGTAAGTCAAGATGCATCTGCATATAAAATCAATATTGTATTTCTACAGTTAGCAATGAACAATCAGAAATTAAAATTTAAGAAACCATACCATTTGTAATAGTATCAAAATATGAACTACTTAGGGGCACATTTATTAAAATGTATGAGATCTGTATGCCAAAATCTGCAAAATATTACTGAGAGAAATGAAAGAAGACCTCAAGTAATATCACGCTCATGGATTGGAAAACCAGTATCATTAAGAAGTTAATACTCCCCAAATTGATCTACAGATTCAATGTAATCCAACTAAAATCCAAGTAAGCCTTTTGTGGTGTAATTAATAAATTCATTCTAAAATTTGTTCAGAAATGCCAAGTGCTTGGAATCACTAAAACAATTTTGAAAAAATAATAAAATTTGAGAAGAATTACTCTGCATAACTTCAAGACTTACTGTAAATATCAGTAATCAGGACAGTGTGGTACTGGCATAAAGATAGGCATGTACAGCCTATGAAACAGCATAAATAATTCATATATGTACCTGTACATATATGGTCAATTTATTTGACAAAACACCATGACAATTCAATTGGGAAAGAACAACAAGGTTTTCAATAAACAGTACTGGAACCAAAAAATGAACATCAACCTATGTCTCATTCTATATATCAATGTCAAGTACACTAAAATTTATAACAAGGGGGGCTTTGAGCTAGATTCAATTAGCTTTTTTTTTTCGTAGACAGAGTCTTACTCTGTTGTTCAGGCTGGAGTTCAGTGACACAGTTTCGGCTTACTGCCTGCCAGGTTCAAGCAATGCTCATGCCTCACCCACCTTAGTAGCTGGGATTACAGTTGTGCACCACCACACCTGGCTAATTTTTGTATTTTTAGTAGAGATGGGGTTTTTCCTGTTGGCCAGGCTGGTCTCAAACTCCAAGCTTCAAGTGATTCACCTGCCTTGGCCTCCCACAAAGCTGGTATTACAGGCATGAGCGAATGTACCTGGCCTCTTGCTTTGTTAAAAGTCTATCTGATACCACTGCCTTTTAATTGAAATATTTAGATAATTTACATTTAATACAACTTTTGATATGGTTAAACTTAAATCTACCTTCTTGCTATATGTCATCCCTTTGTCCCTATAGTCCCTGTCTTCACTTTTTCCTCTATATGCCTTCTTTTATTATTTCATTTTATCTCCTTTGTTACATTATTAGCTATAACTCTTTGTATTTTGTTATTTTAGTGTTTTTCTATGATATACAGTATGCATGTTTAACTTACCATAGTTTACCTTTGAGTGATATACTACTTCACATATAGGAACCTTATAATATACTTACATCTCTCCCCTCCTGACCTTTGTGTTATTGTTGTCATTTTACATTTACATATGTTATAGATCCCACCATACATTGATTGTTACTTTTGTTCAAACAGGTAAGATTTGAAGATATTTAAATAATGAAAAATTTAAAAATTATTTACCCATGTAACTACCAATTCTGGTGCTCTTCATTCCTTTGTATAAATCCAGATTTCAATCTAGTATTATTTTCTTTCTGCCTAAAGCACTTCCTTTAATATTTCTTATAATGTGAGCTTGATGGTGATAAAAGTCATAAAAAGTTTTTTTTTTTCTCTTTATTTTTTCAGAGAAACTCTTTGGTACATATAGAATTCTAGGTTGACAATTTTTTTCCTTCATTAGGTTAAAGGTGTTATTCTATTTTCTTTTCACTTGCATTCTTTCAGGCAAGAAATCTGCTATTACTTTTGTATAATATTGAAGACATTTAAATAATAAAAATTTTTTAAAAATGTTTACCCATGTAATTACCAATTCTGGTGCTCTTCATTCCTCCGTGTAAATCCAGACTTCAATCTAGTATAATTTTCTTTCTGCCTAAAGTACTTCCTTTAATATTTCTTATAGTGTGAGCTTGAATGGTGTAAGTTTTATATGTCATAAAAACTTTTTTTCTCTTTATTTTTTCAAAGATACTGTTTGGTACATATAGAATTCTAGGTTGAAAATTTTTTTCCTTCATTAGATTAAAGGTGTTATTCTATTGTCTTTTTACTTGTATTCTTTCAGGCAAGAAATTTTCTATTACTTTTGTATAATATTGAAGACATTTAAATAATAAAAATTTTAAAAAATGTTTACCCATGTAATTACCAATTCTGGTGCTCTTCATTCCTCTGTGTAAATCCAGACTTCAATCTAGTATAATTTCCTTTCTGCCTAAAGTACTTCCTTTAATATTTCTTATAGTGTGAGCTTGAATGGTGTAAGTTTTTATATGTCATAAAAACTTTTTTTTCTCTTTATTTTTTCAAAGATACTTTTTGGTACATATAGAATTCTAGGTTGAAAATTTTCTTCTTTAATTAGTTTAAAGGTGTTATTCTATTGTCTTCTCACTTGCATTCTTTCAGGCAAGAAATCTGCCATTACCTTTGTCTTTATTTTTCTGTGCATGTCTTTTTTCCTCTGGCTGCTTTTAAGGTTTTCACCTTATCACTGGCTTTGAGTAATTTGATTATAATGCTCCTTGGTATAGTTTCCTACATGTTTCTTGTGTTCAGGGTTTGTTGAGTTTCTTGGGCCTATGGGTTTTTAATTTTTATCAAATTTGGAAAATATTCAGTTATTATTTCTTTTTCTTTCTGGCCCCTCTTTTCCCCTTCAAAAACTCTAATTATACATGTATTAGTGAAATTGACCCATAATTTATAGTTATTGTTCATTTTAAAAAATTCTCTAAAATCTCTAAGCTTCTTTTTGGAGTTCCTATTATTTTGTCTTCAAATTTAGTAATATTTTGTTCTGCACTGTGCGATCTGCTGTTAATCTTACTCATTGTGTTATATACCTCACTCATTTCTAGTGTGGGATTCACTTCTACAAGTGTAGTTTTCATTTCTAAAAATTCAATTCACATTTAAAAAGCTTTAATGTCTCAACTTTATGATTATATAGAATATAGTAATAATCATATTAATGCCATTATCTGAATTCGAACATATGTGTCAGCTTTGAGGTCAGTTTTGATTTATTTACCTCATTATGGGTCATATTTTTCTGTTTCTTTGCATGTTTGGTACTTTTTTGTTGGATGGCAGATGTGAATTTTATGTTGTGGGTGCCAGGTATTACTGTATGCCTATAAATATTCTTGAGATTCATTCTGGTTTACAGTTATATTACTTGGAAACAGTGTAATCCTTCTAGGTCTTATTTTTAAGATGTATTAGGTGTGACTGAAGCAGATATTAATCTAGGGTTAATTATTACCCACCACTGATGCAAGATCCTTTTGTATACCCTACCCTATGCTTGTGAATCATGAAGTTTTCCAGCCTTGCTGATAGGAATAGGTATTACCCATTTTGTGTGAGGACTGTTAACTGCAAGTGCAGGTTACTGTTACCTCTAATCCTTTCAGGTAGTTCTTTCCCCAATCTTGGGCACTCTCCTCACACACATGTGCTGCAGTACTTGGGTGACTTCACAAAGACAACCCTATGCAGTTCTTTGGAGTTCTCTGTGTGCAGCCTTGTCCTCTCCATTATCCTACCATGTCAACTGTACCTTTGTTGGTTTCTCTAAACTCTTAGCTCCACTTCCTCAACATAGAAAGTGTGTCAGGCTCTACAGGGTTCTCCCTTCTTTTTCCATGGCCTGGAAATTCTATCAAGGTAGTAATCTGAGGATAATCATAGTGCTCACCTCTTTTTTTCTCCATCCTTCAGGGACCACTGTCCTTCATTGCTTGATGTCCAGTATTTTGAAAATCATTGTTTCAAATATTTTGTCTGTTTTTATTCAGTTCAGGAGATATGGTAAATCCATCATGGCCAGAAAATTGATGCCAAAAAATTTACTCTGAAATGTATATGGAAGAAGCAGGAGCAAAAAAGAAAGACTTCTCCTATAAGATGGTGATTCTCTGTTCTCAAACCATAAGCATCAGCATTACCTGATAACTTGCTAGAAAGGTAAATTATTGGGTTCTAACTCAAACTTACTTAATTAAAAGCCATGTGGGTGAGGGCCCACAAGCCCTCCAATTGACTCTGATATACACTGAAGATTGAGGTTCACTGCTAATAAGATATTAAGATAGATACAAAGTTTTAATTATAAAAATAACATGCTACAATAAAGCAAATATAGAAAAATGTTAATAAAAAATGTAGATAAGTGGTCATTATAAAACTTACAACTTTGCTGAAAAAGAAAATATGATACAGAGGCAAAGACAGAAAAACAGACCAAAGAACATAATAGGGAGCTCAGTGACAGTCCTGTGTATACATAGGCATGCAATTATATTGATATACAATAAAGTTTGCATAGAATTAATAGGAAAAAGTAGCCTTGAGCAGAGAAAACTTGGAGCTGGATCACTACCTTACACCATATTCAGTGGTAGACTCAAGATGAAAAGATCTAAATGTTAAGTAAATCTAAGTAATTAATAGAAGTAAATGTGTCAGAAACCCTTTCTTCAGGAATGAAGAAAACTAACTAATAATGATGAAGCATAAACGATGGATTTGTCCTTATCCATGTTAATCTTTTTTGTAAACAAACAAACAAGATACCATAAACAAAGAGAAACAGGCTATGGGCTGGGAGAAGATATTTTGAATGTTTCAAATGACGCATGCAATAACTGAAATAGACAAAAAACTGGCTGGGCACGGTGGCTCATGCCTGTAATCCCAGCACTTTGGGAGGCCAAGGTGGGCAGATCACCTGAGGCCAGGATTTCGAGACCAGCCTGGACAACATGGTGAAACACTGTCTCTACTAAAAATACAAAAATTAGTTGGGAGTGGTGGTGAGTGCCTGTAAGACTAGCTACTTGGGAGGTTGAGGCAGGAGAATTGCTTGAACCTAGGAGGTAGAGATTGCAGTGATCCAAGATCGTACCACTACTCCAGCCTGGGTGACAGAGTGAGACTCTGTCTCAAAAAGAAAAAAAGAAAATAGACAAAAAAAACTACTACCAATTAGTCTTTACAGAAAAATGAGAAAAAAGAAAAAAAAAAAAAAAAAAAAAACCAAATGGACAAAAAGAATAGGAAATTTACAGAAAGGTAAACCTTAATAGCTGGATAGTCGTCAAATACCCCAGGAATCAGAAAAATGGAATTTAAACTAATACCAAAATACAATGTTATGTCCACCAAACATGCCAAAGTTAGAAAGTCACATATCGTTTGAAAATATGTGAGGAAATAAGAATCTTCACGTCTAGCTACTGATAATATAAACTATTACAGACTTTTCAGAAAGTAATTTAGCAGAATTTACTAAAATTAAATAGTCCTGTGACTTAGCAATTGTATTTTCTCTAGCAAATATATGCTAGAGAAATTTTCACACAGGTCCATATCATGACGTGAATTAGGATACTCACCACTGCATTGTCTATGGCAGCGGGGAAGTAGAGAAACTGGCAGCATCACAGGTGTTCATCACTAGAAAAATAGATAAGATGCAGTGGAGTCAAACTGTATTTATTTATATGAACATACATAACACTATTCTTTCTGTAGTTATTATTCACCCAAGAATTCCAACTTAGATTTTTCTATAAGTGCTTAAAATTAACCAATCTGTAGTTTCTTTTAGAAAAAGCCATTTATTTGGCTGGGTACAGTGGCTCACATCTGTAATCCCAGCACTTTGGGAGGAAAGTGAGAGAACTGCTTGAGGCTAGGACTTCAAGATCAACCTGGGCAATATAGTGATTCTCTATAAAAAGTTTTTAAAGTCGGATTCTTGTCTCACTTATAGGAATCATTTGGTATTTTACTTCCGTTCTTATTTTACTATCACCACTAGTTACACTTATTTCTACTCTACAACATGTGGTTTTGGTCAATATTCTTGGATCCCAAATCTACTTTTAAGATTTTCCATTTCGTTGGAGTATCCCCTAGTACTTCTTACAGAGGTAAATTCTGAGTCCCTGAATTCCCAAAAATGTCATTATTTTGCCCTCCAACTTGAATAACTTGAGGCTTCTTGTATCCAAATTGCTGGTGACAGTTCCAATGTCAATCTAATCCTATTCACTTTGTAAACACTTCCTTTACATTTTGGAAACTTTTCAGATGTTCTTTTTATTTTTAAAATGTTTTTGAGGTACAGCCTCACTTTGTCGCCTAGGCTGAATTGCAGTGGCACAATCTCAGCTCACTGCAACCTCCGTCTCCTGGGCCAAGTGATCCTCCCACCTTAGCCTCTGAGTAGCTGGGAATACAGGTGCACACCACCACACCTGACTTTTTCTAGAGACGGGGCTTCACTCTTGCCCTGGCTGGTCTCGAACTCCTGGACTCAAGCAATCAGCCCACCTCAGGCTCCCAAAATGCTGGGATTATAGGTGTGAGCCACCACACCTAGCCAAAGATGTTCTTTACATCTACTCTAAACATGAAGATATATCTAGAAGTGTATGTTTATAGTTTTGCTTGGTACTAAATGGCCTCATTCCAGTCTGAAAACCTATGTTGTGCTTCAGCTCTAGGAAATTTTATTTTTCTCCCTTGTTTCCTTTGAAGGCTCATGTTGGAACATGAGAACTTCTCTTCCATATCTCATTTCACATTATTTCTTAGTTCATTTGCATTACTTTTGAATCTAAACCTAAAGCTTTTTAATTTGCCCTTTAGGTATCTTTCTACTTTCCAGCCCAGCTGTTTGACCATTCTATTTTACATTATAAAGACATCTGAATCCTTTCACACAGCTTGTTTTCTAAACTCAATATCCTTCTTTATCCCTTGGAAGTTATCATTTTACAAATTGATTTCTTTAGATATTGGTGCTTCTGTTTGGTAACTCTCACGGTGTTACTTTTTTTCAGTTTCAATTACTTTTGTTGTTTTCACCTTACTGTGAGCCTGAGTTACTTGCTTATTGCAAACTATCTGCACTAATGGTGGACAAAAGGAAGAACATGCCAATGGTCAGACCATGCTAGCTCAAAAGGGCTATACTGGTTTTCTTTCTTTCTTAATCTAGGTACCCACACTAATTACTCCTGCTTTGAACCAGATGTCCTTTCTGCACACAGCCTGGCATATAAAAGGTGGTTGAACTAAACCAATTCCTTATAATGCAGTATCACCACCATTCTTGGTCCTTTATGTAGTCTTTCATCTGAAGCAAAATCCACCTTTCATGGTAGAATTCTCTGGTTCTAGCCCTTCAAAGAATTTCTCAAAAACTATGGATTCAGTGTACTCCCTTCTTGTTTTGCAAAACTGGTTAAGACTATTACATAACCCCTTTGCCTATCGGAGTATTAATAATCTTTTACATCCTTTATAGGTATGTGGACAGGACGAGGAGATTAAAGCATGCTCCATTTTTGCTACCTTGAATAATTTATTTCTGACAGTCAAGTCTGCAAACAATTCTTCCTGTTCTTGGGAGGATGAATGTTCCTTTGAGGGATGCTGCAGTGAAGGATGCTCCAAATATGAGACGTTTAGCATGCATTCTGGACCAACATTAGTTCTCAAAGTATTAGGTTCTTCCTTTCACGAAGATGACGAAACTTAAAATCATCCATCCTAAAATCCATGTTCTCTGCTCATGCTTTCATTTTTTTTTTAACAGTTTTTCTTTAGTTTTCTGACAAGGAAAAGTTTGAAAGAAGAGCAACTGAAAAAAGATCCTTCTCAAGTTATATGTTGAACACAAAAAAGGCTAATTTGATTAGATTTAAGGAAAATCAATATTTATAGGCTTGTTTTCATTAAAAATAAGCTTTATTGAATCCCTTGAGGGGAAAAGCATACTTTTACAGCTTAGATGTCTTCCTTTCCCAGCGATGCAAGTTTCTCAAATTTTATCCTGAAATGAAATTGTGGGCTGATTGAGAAGCTAAATGGGCAGAGGCCTGACAGATCACCATTGTCCCTGGTTGTTACATTAGAAAGGAAAGTTGTAACAGGATTCTTTGTGTCTGTCTCTTTCCTAAAGATTCTATAGAAAGGTTCAGAAGTATTTTGATTGTTCTCTACAATAAAACCCAGGTTGTTCTCTTAAAAAAAAAAAAAAAATTAGGTGTTTTCTCTAAAACAGGCTTTCTCAGCTTAGCATGAGATTTTCAGGTGGTTGGATATTAGACTGTACATTATGGCTGACCACAAATTCTAACCTTGAAAAATTGCGTCCTGAAGAGACTGTAGAAAATAGCATTCTCTTCAGAATTTTCCAAAATTAAATGACTACTTACTATCCTCTGGACTTATGAATTCTGTATAGAATTAGCAGTCCTTTTAATAAAGTTTTATAATTTTCTCCATATTTTTCTCAGCAAATATTTTATGATGTTTATATTTCTTGTGGTGGTTGTGAATATATTTTTAAATATATTATCTAATTGGTATAAAAAATTAGCAGCTTTAGATAGAAGAATTTTGTCAACTTTTTCTGAAGGTTCTTATTTAGAAACAAATGCATATCTGGAGGTCTGAGTTGGCTGCCTGTCTAGATTACTTTTTTTTTTAAAGAGGCATTTTGTTCACTTGTTCATCAATTAAAGCTATTGATGAATCATAATTATATCAATGTCTATTTTATAAGAAACCTATTCACTGAATATTAAAAGGCTACATAAGAATGTAATAGACTCAGTGAAAAAAAAAACCTTCCAAATAGATTTCACTTGTCAGTCTCCGAGAAACATTTCCCATCTTAATAGTTTCCTTTAGAATAATAACTTGAGATAAACTACACTTTTTCTACACCCAGATATACATGATTTTAATGCTCAAAAAAACTGTGCATTTTTCATGAGAATTTCTCTAACCCTGAATTTTGTAAATAAACCACAGTTTAAGCATCATTAGTTTGTTATCTATCCTCTATGTGTTGTTTCAGCTAAATATACACAAAAATTTGGAATGCTGAATAAATGTTGGTTGATAAAATGTTAACATAGCTGCTAATAGGGTTATTTAAAGTACAGAAAATTAAAAGCTTAGTTCTGCTTATGGCAAGTTTTGTGTTTAAAAGTATTAAGTATACGTACGTCTTCATATCCAGTCCAAAGAGGTCAGAAGAATATTTACAAAATAAATATGTAGGGAATTTTAGAATTTCACTGATTTACATGAACTAATGATTCCTTAATCAGCATAAAACTTTAGATTATGTCAACAACTGTATACTGCATACATTGATCATATCATTTTTACTGCTAAAATTTTTTTATTGGCCAGAGTAAGAAATTTTAACCACTAAAAGATAGTTGTGGTTTTGAGGAACTGCTACATAATACTCATTAAAGTAAAGTTAGTTATGGGTATAAGCCTTAACTACAATTTCCTCAACAGTATATAAACTAAAAATATCTTCTTCACTTCCTCAAAAAACTTAATTATTCTTTTATTCAAATTTTGAAATTTATTACAACAAACTTCTAATTAAAAGTCCTGTCATTTAATTTTAATTTTCCAATATTTTCAAAGAAAACTTGGCTATACTACTTCTCTTGGTAAAGTTTCTTACTCAACTTTGTGTTGCAAGAATATTATAAAATTTTAATTAACTACAGTAGGACAAAATACCAGTGATATAACTATCTGTTGCACTTAGAATACTTCAATGTAATGTGCAGACAGTGAAGTTAGGGTTAATGGAACTGAAGATCCATTGTTCTGAGAGGCTTAATTCCTTTTCCAAAATTATAATCTATGTATGTGTTCAAGGTAAAGTAGTTGAAAACTTCACAACTATACTTATTAAATGTATTTCTGATTAAAAGTAGAATATGACTGTGAAAATCTGAAATCAGTAAAAGGAAAAAATTAATATTTAAAAACAAACTAAGAATAAAGGGAACACCGAGACTTGTCTTAAAGAAGCTGTCATTCTTTTTTTTTTTTTTTTAGAGATTACAACACACATACAATAAGTGAATTTTATCAAAATACAGCACATTTCTTCTACTATATCCATAAAAATCAATTCCTATGTAAATAGTACTGAAAATCAACTAAAATGAGTTAAAATTTACAAAGAGTTGTTAAAGGGTTTCAATCAAAATTATTAAAACTATACAGTACAATAACCAATTGATAACATCTTGAAAGAAGTGCAATATTTGAGTTCACATATTTTTAAAAGTGCTGCCTATTCACTCTGACTAGCAAGAATGGAACATGAGTCCAACTCGCTTTTGCAAAAATAATGTGGGTTGGTGTTTAAAGCTAGTCTTATAAAAGTCTTAATTAAAATCAAGGTTGATAAAGCATAGCAGATTAAAAATTCCCAAATTGCATTTTAGTAAATAAAATGAAGTGCAATAACCAAATATTGCTCTAATGAAAGGTTCCAGACTAGCCTCAACTAAACAGTTATTGGTCTTCTATGGCACTTTTTCTGGTCCAAATAACCATGCATTAATCCTTACCATTGCATGTTACTCAAATTTTATTTGATTACACAAAACAAAAACAAATAAAATTAATGGTCTGGATAACAAAATTAATAAACCTCTATTATCATCAAATATTTGTTACAGTAACTAGGAACAAAGGCAGTTGGTGGTAAAACACTATTACACTGATACACGTAGAAACCCTTTAAAGACTCTGAAGTGTTGAGTTCACATTTAATGTTACCTGTAGAAACAGCCCTTTATTTGAACACCTTTACAAACTGGTAGGCCTCAAGGACCCATCCCTTTGCTCTACAACTCTCCACAGCAATTCTCTATCACTGTGCCAGTTTCACAAACTTACTTTGGTTTCCTAGCTCCATGCGTACTGTTTCCTTTTTTACTTTACCAAGGCAATGCAAGGCCAAACAGAAAAAAGAGGCTTTCATACTAAACTTTCTTACGTTTTGTGTTACAGGCAACACAGTCTTAAAACTGGCCATTTTTGTTTCATTTGCTGCTTAAAATAAAAATTATAAATTAGATTTAAACGGAGCACTAATTATAAAACAGATTGCAAGTACCACCATTTGCAAAAAAAAAAAAAAAAAAAAAAAAAAAATCAGGGGATTTCCATAACACAGAAAATGCATGGACATGCATCTACAGTAGAGTTGAAATTTTCCTGTGACTAAAAAATTAAAAACTGAATCACCAGTAGCAAATGTATAGTCAATGGCTATGACAAGAACAGATCCTGTAGAGCTCATAAAATGCAATTATTGTCTTTTTTGCTT